GGGCTGACCTTGAGGGTGATGCCCACGAGGAAGCCAGCTAGCCAGGGAGGTGGTGAGTGATGTCAGGGCTTTTCGGTCTAGGAGGGAGGGCTCCGTGAGCAGGGAATGCCCAGGGGCTGGGGCAGAACAAGGAGAATCAAAGGGGAAGTTCTGCTCCCCGTCACTGCTATTATCAGAATAGCTCTTATTTATGTTTTGTGTCTTGGACTTCTGAATCAGTTTATTAGGAGGAAGCATTCAGCTGCTTAAAAACAAATTTTAAAACCACTGAACCTGAACGATCTTTAAGGCTTCTTCGCTTCCAAGAGATTCTACCATTGTTCCTCACAAACACACACAAAGAGAGAAAAATTAACATAGGCAGGGAGCAAGCCCGCTGAACAACCCTGTCCTTCATTTGGCCTCCTTTTTTTAATTTTTTAAATGTTTATTTATGTTTGAGAGAGAAAGAGCAGGAGAGGGTGGCATAGAGAGAGGAGGATAGAGGATCCGAAGCAGGCTCTGTGCTGACAGCAGAGAGCCCAATGTGGGGCTAGAACTCATGAACCATGAGATCATTACCTGACCCAGAGCCAGACCCTTAACCTACTTAGCCACCCAGGCGCCCCCCCACTCACCCCATTTGGACTCCTTCTGAGAGAAAGGCATTTGTTTCATATGTAATATCTGTTGATATAATCTTTGAAGGGATTTTAAGGCTGTACCCTTAAATTTAATTATAAATGTACCTAGCAAGATAATGAAATATTAAGTTCATTGGAAACCTGCCACTCTAACCTGTTTCCCTATTGTCAAATGGCTGAATCTCAAAGGGCTTTGGTGCTCAAGGAATCCATTTTCCTTTTGTGAGGTCCAAAATAAACCATCGTGTTCCAGGTGGGCTCATGATCATGTCTAACATAAAGGGCTCTTATAGCAGAGGAGGGTAACAGGTATAAAATGCAAGCCAGTTTAGGACAATCATTGCTAATAACACTTTACCTTCAACACATTTGTTCCTAAGAATATAGCTCTAAAAAAATTATCTTCCATAAAATAGTCTACTGAAATAATTAACATCTGAACAGGAAGAGAAAATTTTTTTCCCATATTGATGTATTCTGTTGCTAGGAGATGGGTTTAGAACAGAATCCCTAAATTAAACTTTCTTGCAGACTGACTTTTATTGAACCTGGCTCTCTGAGAAAACGCACTGCATTTACCATGAGCGTCAGTGTGCAAAACCTGTCATTTCTGAAGCTAGAAGATAATTAACCAGGTCAGCGAGTATATAATCCAGGCATCTTACCATAATATTAAAATAAGAGTATGTTTATAAGAGGCAGTTGTGCTGTGGGGGAAAAGTGCTATATTAGGAGGGAAAAAAAATCTAGGATTTCTCATTTACTAGCGATGCAACTTTACAAGATTACTTCATATCTCTCAGCTTTGATTTTTCTCATCTATAAATGGGGACAATATTTTTTCATAAGTTTGTTATGAAGAATAATTAGATAATGTATGTAAAATGCCTTTTAAAATATAAAATGCTATATGGATATAAAAACTATACAGTTTTACAATAATTGTATATTATTGTAGAATAAGAAGTATGTCTCCTACATTTAAATGTTCTTTAAGAAATCTGTTTGTTGAACTGTATCACTGGGGGCGCCTGGGTGGCTCAGTCAGTTGAATGGCCAACTTGGGCTCAGGTCATGATGTCATGGTTGTGGGTTCGAGCCCCACGTCAGGCTCTGTGCTGTCTGCTCAGAGCCTGGAGCCTGGTTCAGATTCTGTGTCTCCCTCTCTCTGCCCTTTCCCCGCTCATGCTTTGTCTCTCTGTCTCTCAAAAAATAAAGTAAAAAAAAAAATTAAAAAAAAAAAGAAATGTATCATAGAATACTATGATTAAGAAGTAGTGGGTGTTTGGTTGTGGCAGCTGGGTGGCTCAGCCATCTGAGCATCCAACTTTGGCTCAGGTCATGGTCTTGCTGCGGTTTGTGAGTTCAAGCCCCACACTGGGATCTCTGTTGTTGGGGAAAGCCCGCTTCAGATCCTATGTTCCTCTCTCTCTGTCCCTACCCCACCTTCTCTCTTTCAAAAATAAACAAACATTAAAAAAAGAAGAAGAAGAAGAACTACTGGATCGCTTACACCACACACAAAGAAAAATTCAAAATGGATTAAGGACCTAAAGGTGAGACCTAAGACTATAAAATCCTAGAGGAAAACAGAGGCAGTAATTTCTCTGACATGGATGTAGCAAGTTCTTACTAATATGCCTCCTGAGGCAAGGGAACGAAAGCAAAAATAAGCTATTGGGACCTCATCAAGATAAAAAGCTTCTGCACAGCAAAGGAAATGATCAACAAAACAAAAAGACAATCTACTGAATGAGAAAAGACATTTGCAAATGAGAATATCTGATAAAGGGTTAGTATTCAAAATATGTAAAGAACTTATAAACTCAGCATCCAAAAAACAAATAATCCAATAAAAAATAAGGCATTAACAGACATTTCTCCGAAGAAGACATCCAGATGGCCAACAGACGTGCAAAGATGCTCAACATCACTCATCATCAGGGAAATGCAAATCAAAACTACAGGGAGGTATCACTTCACACCTGTCAGAATGACTAAAATCAACAACACAAGAAACAACAGGTGGTGGCAAGGATGTAGAGAAAGGGGAACCCTCTTGCACTGTTAGTGGGAATGCAAACTGTACAGCTACTCTGGAAAACAGTATGGAGTTTCCTCAGAAAGTTAAAAATGGAACTACCCTACCATCTAGTAATCACATTCCTGTGTATTTGCCCTAAAGTATACAAAAACATTCAAAGAGATACATGCACCACTATAGCAGCATTTACAATAGCCAAATTATGGAAGCAATCCAAGTGTCCATCAACTGAGGAATGAATAAAGAAGAGGTGGTATATATACACCATGGAGTGTTGTTCAGCTGTAAAAAAAGAACAAAACCTTGTCATTTGCAAGATGGATCTAGAGAGTATAATGCCGAGTGAAATGAGACAGAGAAAAACAAATACTGTATGATTTCAGTCATATGTGATATTTAAGAAACGAGTAGCGAAAAAAAAAAGAAAGACAAATCAAGGAACAGAGATCAGAAATCAGGAAATCAGTTTGTTCTCTCTTAAGTACAGACAGACTGATGGTCACCAGAAGGGAAGTGGGGGGGTGGGGGGGATGGGTGAAATAGGTGAAGGGGATTAAGAGTACACTTGTCATGATGAGCACTGAGCAATGTGTAGAATTTCTGAAATCACTATTTTGAACCCCTGAAACTAATATAAACACTGTGTTAACTATCCTAGAATTCAAAAAAATTAATAATAATTTTTTTAAAAAGAAGTTGTGGAACTGTTTTGGAGTCCGCTTTCCCTGCTGGGCTATGTGTGCACTTAGGACAGGTGCCACCAAGGGCCATGCCAGGCAGTGCTGGTCCACAGTAGACATAAACTGGCTCATGGATAGGGTGCCTGGATGGCTCAGTCGGTTGGCTGGGCGTCCAACTTCAGCTCAGGTCATGATCTCCCCGTTCCCGAATTCCAGCCCCGCGTTGGGCTCTGTGCTGACAGCACAGTCTGGAGCCTGTTTCAGATTCTTTGTCTCCCTCTCAGTCTCTGACCCTCCCTGGTTCAAGCTGTCTCTCTCTGTCTCAAAAATAAATAAACATGAAAAAAAATCATTTCATGGAAGGAAAGGAGAAGAGGAGGGAGGATTTTCTCAAGTCATTAATAAAGCAGTACCAAAAGAATTCCATAGAATTCCAAAGACAACCAGAGTAATGACAGCATCTCTGGAATTAATATAGTTTCTGAGGAGGTCAAGGCTCACTTGGATGTTTATTTTCTGGTGTGTTTGCTTAAAAACAAAAACAAAAAAAATCAGGCCACTATCTCCTGGTCATACCTCATGGAAAGGGAATACTAAATTTATTCTACTTTAAATTTTCATCTTGATGTAAGTACCAGCAAAAGCTGGTTCCTGTGTGAGCCAAAGTATCTAAGATATAAATTTCTATTCCACACAAAAATGTATGGGATTGAAGAACAGAATTTCTGCTGACATATAATACAGCTCTTCAATGTCCAAGGCCAGTTGGCAGAAACAAGAGAGCAAAGAACAAGTTACGTGTATCTGCTGTTTCATCAAGTGAGCCACCAACATGGCTTGGTGTGTGCTGCTGTTTTGCAATTCCGAATTAGCAAGCTCCCCTTCCCATCTGATGTGTACCTATTTAAGGCTGAAATAACATGAGAAGTTTATTTTATGACATAATTTTAAGTAGAAGAAAAAGCAGGGTTCAGAGTTGAATACAGAATGTAATTATATCTATGTTTAAAAATACTTGAAAGGAGAAACACATTAAAAATGCTAATAACAAAAAAAAATGCTAATAACAAACGTATTTAAATGGGTGGCAAGAAACAGGCAATTTGTTTCCTTCTTTTGATTTTACAAATTTTCTTTACTGGGCAGATAGTCTTTAAAAAATTTATTTAAGATATCTCTACATCCAACGTGGGGCTTAAACTCACAACCCTGAGATCAAATGTCACATGCTCCTCTGACGGAGCCAGCCAGGCGCCCCAGGGGGGACAGTACTTTTTTAATGATAAGCTAATCTGAAAGTTCCCAAATTATATAAAAGTGTTTTAATTAACAATGAGTGTTATAAATCTAAACCGTCTGCAATGTTACAGAACTTAGTACCTATTAGCACATTTGCCTTTGTGGCAACAATAAAATAATCCATCTAAGATTTTCTTTCCTTCTGGTTACTGGTTACCCACAAATCAGGGCTCCGTGTGTTCCGTGTTTCCCTGGAGCCCTAAACACAGCAGTACTATTTATTGACATTGCCAAAATGGGGGAGGGGTAATACCTTAAAAACACTCAAACTTCATGTTTCCTTTCCTTACATGGCTTCTTCCATGCATTTCCTAAGGCTCTGAGGTAGAGCGCTGAAGCAGAGACTGGACTTACCGTGACCCTCTCACATGTTTGTGTATGAAGTCGGCATGGAAACGTGGGACCAGAGGATCCTTCTCCCCGTGCACAATTAAGGTGGGGCACTGAACCAGGGGCAGCAAGTGCCGACAGATATTCCCTGAAAGACAAATAGCATGGAAAATCCACTTCAATGTGACCGTCCCACGAGGTGAGTCAGAGAAGCAGAGAGCTGTGGCAAATCATGCCTCTCTCTGGACCTCAGTGTCCCTGTCTGTAAAAGAGGAGGTTTTCCTAAGGTGGGGCACCTGGATCATTTGAATGTTATTTGAGTGTCTGACATAAGTTTGAGCCCAGTGTCGGTCTCTGTGCTGACAGCTTGGGAGCCTAGAGCCTGCTTCAGATTCTGTGTCTCCCTCTCTCTCTCTGCCCCTCCCCCACTCACACTCTGTTTCTCTCTCTCAAAAATAAATAAACATTAAAAAAAGATGGGGTCTGAGGTGTTTTTCAGCACTTAGGTCTCCTTTTCTGTTTCTCTGCTGTTTCTTTTTCTTTGGAAGCTCTATTAGTAAACAAGCAGTTTTACTTACAGTCATAATGCATGTAAAATAAGAATAATAAACAAAACCCCCCACAATTCTTTATATTATATTAGAGCAGTCCCCAATTTGCAAAACGATGCTCGGCATGTAAAAAGCTTTCCCATTGAAATAATGTCTTAAATGGTTCTTGGGGTCCCAGCTAGCCCTTAAAGCTTATACACCTTAGTGTGACATTAAAATTTACACAGGGCAAGCAAGCTTCTTTCTCTTCATCCCTCCTGCCTCCATGACATTTCTGACTGACATACTTTGGAGATCATGAGGTTCTCACCCCCGTTTGTAACAACATTTCTAAGGTGGACATGGAACAACCCGGTTCTGGTCCTATCCTGCTGTTTCCTGCCTGTGAAATCTTGGGTGGTTCCGTAGTGATGAGTTTCAGACCCCTCCTTGGTCAAACAGGGAAAGTTACAGTTCTCTGGGGTTGACCACAAAGGTAAAAAGAGATGTCATGTCAAAGGTTCTGGGCACCCAGCAGGTACTCCATAAAGCGAGGTTCTCCCTCTCCTGACTCCTCCCTGCTTCTGCCTGGGTTGAGAAGAAAGTGCTGAGACTGAGAAAGCTGTCCAGACACATGGCCTGTCTGGCCCCCTCACTTGGGGGGTCACTGCCTGCTAAATGAGATGGCAACGGGCTGGCCAGGGAAATATTTCCCTAGGTCTCAGAAGCTTCCCTCTCCTGTTCCAGGGATGACAGGTACCCACCAACCATATAATCACTTATTACTGAGTACTATGTGTCAGAGACTGTTCAAGTAGTTTGATGCCCATGGAACACTCCATTACATGTTTTAACTCATTTAGTGTGTACAATTATTTGTAAAGCAATTACTTTTCTAACAACAGTAATAATAACCTTTTATTAAGCATTTACTTTGTATTTGCTATTGCACCAAAGCTAAACATACAGAGAGAGCCCTGTTTAATCTTCACAACCGTATGAGGTAGTGTTTAGTATCTCTGGTTCCCAAACAGGAAACTGCAGCTTCAAGAGAAGCCAGCTAATCTGCCCAATTCATTCTAACAGCAAGCCCAGTGGCAAGGTGAGAATTCACACCCAGGCCCGTCTTACCCCTAGTCTGTGCAGTTAACCCCTACACTAAACTGAGGGTCCACAAACATGAGGATACAATTATGAAAAAAAGGGCTCCTGTCAAATTAATGAATGTGGAAGGGAGATACATAGTTTATTCACAGTCTTGCTGTAAGATCATTTACACACTGCTAGCTCCTCTATATTTTGACATTTTCCCCTCTCTTCTCTTTCTTTCCTTTAAAAAAAAACTGTATTTGATATTTTTAAATTTTAGGTTTACAGCAAAATTGATTGGAAGGTACAGGGATTTCCCTTGTCGCCCTGACTATCAACATCCTCCACCACAGAGCTCAGAGTTTACATTTGGGTCCACTCCTGGTGCTGTACATTCTGTGGGTTTGAACAAATGCTTAATGACACACATCCATCGTTATGGTGTCACAGAGTATTTTCACTGCCCTGAATATCCTGTTCTGGCCATTGTGATAGGTGAGTAGTGGGATCCTGTTATTTGGCTCATCTTTTTAATCAGGTTGTTTGTTTTCTTATTGTTCAGTTGTAAGAGTTCTGTGCACATTTGGATAACAAGACTTGATCAGGTGTGTCTTTTGCAAATATTTTCTCCTGGCCTGTGGCTTGTCTTTTCATTATCCTGACGGTGTCTTTCGCAGAGTGGAAGTATTAGATTTTAACAAACACGGGGCATATTTTTGAACTGCTGATTTAGTTCTGCTTCTACCTTTGAATCTTCCTCCCCTTTCAGCTCTCTTGTCAGGAAAGCAAAAAAGTTTACATTTCAATAATGGATAACTGTCTTAGACATCTTTTATGGCATTCTTAAGAGCTGACAGAAACACACTTCCAAGACCTATTTCTATGGGTGGGTACTGCATTTGAACAGGATATGCTTGCTGTTTTGAACTTAAACCAAAAAGTAACATTTCCAAATAACCTTTTCACTGTGAAAGTTTTGACAGGTGACTCACTCTGGAAATGATTACCTAATAGATCAAACTGGCCCTTCAACTGCAGCCATTCTGTAATTGAATTGTGCTCCCAGATTAGATCTTAGCTACCCTCTATTCTTTGGTGGTTAAAATAGAAAAGTGAAAGAGTATACATGTAAACAGCTACTTAAAAACAGACTTTAACTCAGAATTTCTCTTAAAGAGATTCCTTAAGAAAGATTCTCTTAAAGAAATTCTTACTGTTTCTGGAAATCATATTCAGTTTTCCGATAAAGACAGAGAGCTACAGTCACTTAACTAAGTTCAGAAGGTGGGGAGTGAACTAAACACTCCTCCTCATGCTAATTCTGCTGGGCGAAGGTCATGACAGAAAGACCCTTCTCTTTTGTCCTAGTAACAGAGTATGTAGCAGGTAACATGTAAAAAAGAAAAAAAAAAACAAAACAGTATGTGTGGTGGCTTTTTTTCTGACTATCCATTCCAGAGTTAGGAAATAAACACTATTTAAGGCTTCTGGAGAAATACTTTGTCATCATACACACAAGGGTTTGAAGGAGAAAGGGACAGTCTGCTATTAAAGACTTAACAATGCGAACCTTGATACATATACTAGGTCTATATATTTAGTATAGTCTAAGGCAGATTTATTATACAAGGGGTCGTATTATGTACAATCACTAGCATCCTGTGTTCACACATGAGCATGAAAGGCCAGTGGGTGAGTGTACTAATCACCAGGGAATTCTGGAACACCAGGGAAGAACTCAAGCAGTCTCTCTAATCAGTAAAGGAACAGCTAAAACAGTTCATACAACCTACCATCTGGAAGACGTTTAAACTGTTTTATGCCATCCACCCACTTCTCACAGGTTTTGGCAAAGTAGTCATACCCATATAAGGTTTCTAGAGGTTTTCTTGTTCTCTCGCTCCATTTAGAAACATCTCTGATACCTGAAAAATAGAAGTCATGACAAGATAGGTCTAGTCTAATGTTAAGGTTTACCTTTAAATATTGCAAACACAGTCCACCTCAGAGCATCCTGTTTGCTGTTGTTCTATCTGCCTGGAATGCATCCCCAGCTTTCCACCTGGCTTACTCCTCACTTTGTCCAGGCCAGTGATGCCTTCTCTGACCACCTTCTTAGAGCACCCTCCCCTCCATCTACTCTGCTTGGCATCTATCAGTGCTTTGTAGCATTTTCTGTGTTCATGGCTGAGTGCCTGTTTCCCCAGTAAGATGAAAGCTCCAGCCTAAGGGATTTGGCTTGTTTTTTCTCCCACTTATCCCCAGAGCCTAGGCCAGAGCCTGGCACAAAAGAGGCACAAAATAAATTTGTACCAAGTGAAATCAGATCTGCATTTAACGCTTTCTGTTAAAGGTATAAGAAGATATTCCTGCAGTTAGGGTTACCTAAGTAAGACTGACATGATTTAGAAAAGAAAAGGTTTTTTTCTGAATTGCATTCAGGTACACTGAAAAACATACAGATTATTCATTCTGGTTCCTGCTACTGAAGAAATATGGCTATAAAAGGCTAACTGTGAACTCAAAACAATTACAGATGATTCACTCTTAGGAAAGGAAGTAACAGCTAAAACCCAGTTTTAAAATGCATGAAAAAATTCAATTACTTAGCCCAGTCTTTTCCATATTTCTTTAAATACACTGATAATTCTAATGCTTCTGAGCATATTACATATTGCTTATGGACAGCTTTTAACACAGTGCTTCTGGTACACAATCCACCTCAAAGATAACACATTACTAATGACATGAACTCCTACTGAACAATAACTCTTCCACAGTGCTCTGGACAGTGCCAGGCCCCTGGCAGGCACCCAGTGTGTACTCAGAGAATGGAAATAACAGAGTGAAGGGAAAATTGCTATTTACAACTACAACTGCCTTCTAAGGATGGCAGATGCTGTTGAAGACATGGCCGGATTAGTTCAAATCTGCAGAAGTTAAGCCCAGAGGCACATTATGGAAGCTGAGGAGAGCTGATCTGCTCTGCATTGGAGTGAAAAGACTTCACAGAGCAGTGCAGAGAAGTCTCGGAATTAAGAGGGTAGGGAGGAGATCTGGGAAGAAGGAAAAGGAGAGTTGGAAGAGAGGAAAGGAGAGAGGAGCCAGCAAGATGTCATGAAGATGGCCAGTAAAAAAAATCCCCTGTAGATATTTCTACTTGGGGCACTACTGCAGACCACACCACAACCTCTGCGAGATGTCCTTGCAGTGGAAGCCCTAGACCTTTCCTAAAATATATGTTTTGTTGCATTGTAGGAGTGCACTAATTAATGGAAACTAGGGTGTGTGTGTGTGTGTGTGTGTGTGTGTGTGTGTGTGTGTATGTATGTGTGTAAGATAGAAGAGACCTGAAAACAGAGCAAAGGGTGGTAAGACTACTCAAAAGGCAGGGTTGCTTTTAGGGGAAATGTATCTACTAGCTGGGGGCGGTAGGTAGAGTTGAAACTGAGATTCCTAGATTAAGCTGAGGTTAAAATGGCCCCCAACTGGGATTACCTCGTGGCTTCCAAGAGTAACAAATGTAAATTCTCTCTGAAAGAAAACATCAATTTGTATTCATGGTCTTTTTTGTTTGCGTGTTTTCAGACTGAGAGCAAGCAAATATTTGCTCCTAATCAAAAATCACAAACCAACCAGAATCCTTATAAAGCTAATGAAAAAGCTAGAACACTGGAAGAGAAAGTTTAAGAGATGATTCAGACAATAAGATGAACAAGAGACAGGGAAGATGGAAAGACAAGGCCCTCAAAGTCCAGTCAGTCCCAGAAGAAGGAGAGGAGGAGAAGTAATACAGGAAGAAGGAAACTGGTAAGAAGGGTTTTCAGAACTGATCAAAGAGAAGAGTACACAGACAAAAATCAAGTGTAACGTGAACTGGATAAATAAAAAGGATTTCCCATCTAGAACCAGAAGAGTAAAATAGTAGTGTATCAAAGGGAAAGAAAAATCCTGAAAAGCAGCCAGATGTAAGACACATCATGCCAAAGGGAGGGAAGCTAGCTGGTAAAACTTACCAGCAATGGTTAAGGAAGGCAGACAGTGGTGCAGTGGAGAAAAGAATTTCCCATTTATATTTCTGTACTTAGCCAAACAATCTTTCAAGAATGAAAGTGAAATAAAAACTGAGTTGGCTCTTAACAGATCTGCCCTAAAGAACTTCCAGGTTCTGCCAAGTGAGGACATAAAACACTGTAACATTTTCTTACATTAAAATTAGTTCTGTCATAAAGAAAGCAAAAGAACAAGCGACAAGCTGTGTACCACAATGACTGACGCAATTACCAACCACAAGCGGCCAATCATCAGATTATTAAACAACAAAAATCCTGCAAATCAATAATGGCATCATAACATTGAAATGTTCTAGTGTTGAGCAGGTGGAGAGTCCTTGGGTGTTGGTTTTGTTGCTAGACTTCATAAGGTATCCCTGTTAAACATAACGTTTTATATTTATCAAATATTACATAAAAGTTTTAAAACAAAAATAAATGAAGACATGAACAGGTGCAATACAGAAGAAGATACCCCAACGATGCATAAAGATCTAAAAAAGATTCTCAATCTTATTAGTAATAGGAAAAATGCAAATTAAGTCCCCCAATAAGATACCATTTCATGCCCATTTGACTGGCTGAGGATTAAGAAGTCTGATGATTTCAAGTTTTTGTGGAGGATGCAAGTTAAGGAATCTTATACACTGGTGGTGGAAATGCAAATTTATTTAGTTGGAAAATAATTGGTCACTTGACATATGGTGTATTTGCATACCATAATATTTAACAATTTTCACATATGGGCATATACGCCAGACACTGTTGCTCAGATGTCCCAGAAGACATGTACAAGAATGTTCACGGCAACAGTGAAAACAGACTTAATCTACTGATAAGATAGGAAACGTAAAATACATTTGCCCAATGGAATACGATACAGCAATATCATGAATGAATCTTAGAAATTCAATGTTCACTGAAAAAAGTGAGTCATAGAAGATGATGTATATAGTATGAAGTCACTTTGTATAGCTCAAAAACAAACAGAACTAAATTATACATTGTTTAGGAATATAAACATGTGTGACAGAAGTGTTTACAAATAGGCATAGGGATGATCTAGGACTCAGGCCAGGGGTAGGGGAGGCCTGGGGAGGAAGCACATGGATACAGTGAGAGTATAAACAGTGATCAGTCTTATGTTTCTGTGGGCTCATGGGTGTCTATAATTCAGTGTCACATGTGTTGCATTATATGTATCAAATACTATACAATTAAATAAAACGGAATTATAAAATAAATTTAAATATATAATTACAGAATTAAATTTAAATACATTATATACCTTGTATAATATATATCACTCATTTATCTTACATATTTATAAGATATAAATATAATATTCAATTTAAAGATGTAATAAATTAATATTTTATTGTTACTATATTAATAGGTTATTAATATGTAATCTAAGTGTAATGTTTTAAAATATATATATGTTTTATATATATTATTATAAAATTTTAAAAAATTCCTCTGCGACAGGAAGGCCAAGATCTTTTAAGAATCAAGTTGGCTAATATTCAATGAGTAGACATTTTTCTTGCTAAAACGTAAATTCCTCCTCTTGGGATAGTGAGAGATTCTCAAAGTGAATTAACTCAGTAAAACCAGGCATTTGGAGTGGCCTCTATTAGCATGTAAAATCTGGGGCAAGGCTTTAGACTCTCATAGGAAATTCTACTTAAATCTTGAGGGGCAGGGCTATCCAGCTGAGCTGGGGCAAGCCAGATGTTCACATCAAGCACTGCAGTTAAACGCCCAGGCTCAGAAGTCATGCTGGCTGGGTCTGAATGCCAGCACTTGCACCTGCTAGCTGTGTGACCCTGAGCAAGTTCCTTAACGTCCGTTCCAGTTTCCTCATCTGAAAACTGAGAATTCTAACAACACTCCAAGATAAAGAGTAAATAAATCAAACATGGAATGTACTAACAATAGTACCCACCATATAACAAACATTCAAAAATATTCTGTGTATTTACTTACTTCTGTTAAGTTTTTTCCAAGAGGAAGCCAGTTTTACCCCAAAGCATAATTTCCACCAAAAAAAAATTTAAAGAGCACCAATTATGTTTTAGTTCCTAAAAAAAAAACCATTTGAATCAAACTGTTTGCTGATGCAAAACACATATAATTTGTATTCCCCCCAAAACTGATACATTTCTCTTTCTGAGCATATAATTTGTGCTAAGCACCAGAAGAGAACTCATTCACTTGCTACTAATTAGTAAATTATTCTGATAAACATTATTTGAAGGCTGCTGAGTGTTAGTCACAGCAGATACAAACTTGAATGAGATAAGGTCTCTGCCCTCAAGGGCCTGATGGTCTAGTGACTTGTAAAGGACCTCTGACCTCTATAGAGGAATGGAACAGAAAAGTCACCTGAGAAGCTAGGGGAAGACACAGGGTGGCGTCAAAGAGCTCACAGGGGTAATGGAAGGGAGTGGCAGTGGTGGGGGGCTTCCTGTAGGAGGCACTGTAGGATCTGAGTCCTTCTGAAAGCAAGTGTGGGAGCATGTGCACTGGCAGAGGCAGAGAGCTGCGCCCCCTGCTGCTGGAACTTCAGCAGGGGTTTTCAGGTGGCTGAAGAAAATGATGGGAGTGTGAGGGTAGAGGACACAAAAGTGGCAGGACCTGGTTTCCCCAAACTTTGTCGGCAAAGCAGAGCAGTTTGAATTCTACTTACCTAGAAAGCTATGGGAGATCCTGAAGGGCTTCAAAGTAAGACATGATGAGATTTACATCTTAGCAAACTCCAAACCAAGCAGTTTGGAAAGCACACTGAAAGGAGGTTGAGACAGAGGGCAGGTGGGAAAGTGCTGGTCAACCTAAGTGGGGACAGATGGAAGCTTAGTGGGAGGCATGGA